CAGTCCCAGGTTGCCCTAGAAGGCCCAGCTTCCCCCAGCTAGGTTACTCCTCCCTGTGGGGACTCCTTCCTGTCCCAAATGGGGAGGGTACAAATGGCAATGTTGTGTGTGTATAGTGGATAGTGGGTAAGTGATGCTGCCAGCAGTGTCGGGACTGAATGAGTCCTGCCTGCTTCGGAATCTGGTGTGTGTGTGTGTGTGTGTGTGTGTGTGTGTGTGTAATGTGTGCAGGGATTGCTGTGCATTGGTGTGTGCAAGTAGACATGTGCAGGCTTCCTCATGGAGAGTGGGATGTGGCTAGTTGTTTGTGAGTAAATGTGGATGTGGCAGGGAAGAAAGAATATCTGTGAGTATCCTGGGGCCTCCATGGGTTTAGTTATCAGCATGTACAGATAGAGATGAGAAGATTTGTCACCACATCTAGGTGTGGTTGTGCCATCTGAACCCAAATGTGCTAAAAACTCAAGGACTCAAGTCAGAAGCAATGGGTCCTAGGGCTCTGTGGGGAGGGATATAGGGCTGGGAGTCCTCTGCCAAGAAATAGACCTTCCCCGCTTCCTTATCTTTCCCCTCAACATAGAGCCTGAGAAGGAGGGTAGGGTGGAGAAGTGACCCCTCCCATGTATCAGAGGCTGCTCAAAGTGAAGTGCCTGGGTCATAGGGACTGTTCCCTCTCTCCTGAAGTCTGTGATGGCGCTTATGATCTGGTTGCCTGCAGACCCCCTGGGATCACACGCCCATATGAGAGGAGTGGAGAACCTCAGTCTGAGCCTGAGTCTACTCTGAAGGAAGTTGAGGCAGTGAATAAACACTGTAAGCACAGGCTTTGCTTTTTTGGTTGCGGGGGTGGGGGGTGTCCTCTGTATGCTGTTGGGTAATGGCTGCCTGCCATGGCCAATCCAGGGCACATACAACACAGACACACACTGTCACACGGATATCCTAGAAACAAGGCAAACACACAAGGCGGGCACTAAGTTGCACAGACTCCAATGCAGAAACCCAAAACACACCCACGGGGACACAGACATACGGAATGCCCGGAAACAGTGCAGTCACAGCACATGCATGGACATACAGGTAGCCAGCAGCACACACAACAGTTAAACAGAAAAACCTTTGCTGTGAAACAGTTACACCAGACCCACTGTTATACACACAATACAGACACAGTGACAGAGGCACAGCCCACAATTATCACAAGCACACCCGTGCCTTCAGACATTCTGTGCAACCAAGGCGTGGCGAGGGAGCTAGCTGGTTTAGGCGACTTTGGGGGAAAAGCTGTCAGGGTTCTGACTGTTCTGAGCAGAGTCCAAAAGCAACTGAGGAGAGCAAGTCACAGACAAAGGTTGTGGGCAGGGAAGCCGAGGCTGCCCGGGAGGGCTCCCAGCCCTTGGCCTAGGAGAAAACCAAGTCCCCAACCACCCCAGAAATGCAATCAAAGCTGCCCACCGCCCACCCGCCCTGCACAATGGCTCTGGCTGGAGTCGTTATCATTTTTGTTAACTTTTTATCGACTGTTTGCTAGATGGCGTGTCAGTAAAGTGTATGATTTGAGATGAAAAATTAGGCAGATTAACCTGAGGGGAGAGCCTGATTGATTACTAAATAGGATCAATTTGAAAGTTTTAGTCCTGGCGTTTCTGCAGAGCCTCTTAATACTTCAAACTTCAATTTTACGGGCGATTGAACTAAGCATGTTTCTGACAAAATTGATATATGTATTAATTTGCTTTAACTGGTGATTAATTACTCTCCACTGAAAGAATTATATGGAGCTGTTTGCCTGCGATTTGCATATTAATCAAATTCTAGTTGATAATTCCACTGGTGGGGGGTCAGGGGCGGGGCGTGGGTCGAGAGGGTGTGAAGGGGTGTTGGCGCCTGTGCAGGTGCCCGTGTGTGCGCCCCAGTGTATGTGGGGGGGCTCCCCACCCCCTCTTTGCTCGCTCCCTGCTTAGCTGCCAGTTTAGTGCATTAAAACCAAAGATGCAGAACGAGTTTGCCCGGCTATTTGGCGGGAGCAGAAATTGCCTGTCCGGTTTTATGATCTGCTCAGCCTGAGCAGCCGGGTCCTTAATGTCCCCTGTCAAAGTGTCCGCGATTTAAAGGGAAAACGGCCCCCGCTTTAGCGCCGAGCTAGCCTGACAAGGGACGAGGCAGGACCGAGCACCCCTTTAAATAACTCCCCTTCCAGAAGAACCGTGGTTTCCAGATGGCACCCTTGCTCTGGGGACCCTCAGAAACCAAGCTATGTCCTTGGAGAGGTCCTGGCTCCTGGGATGCTCTAGCCATGAAGCATGCCCCTTCGACTCATACACATGGGGCCACATACAGGCACAGTGGAGACCCTGAGACATGGTCAGACACTGTCACTTGAGCTGATGGGCAGGAAGCCACCCTCTTAGACACGCACAGTCACACTCCTGTTCACTTAGACCCCCACTCTGGGGCCTATCCATAGACACACTCAGCTACCCCCACGCACACCCGAACACAGAACCCCACACAGGCGGGGAGCACACATAGACACCCAAGTCACGTCCACACGGCCTTTCAAGCGCACATGGTCACACACAGACACACGTACTTTCAGATTCACAGGCAGACCTCATTCACACACACCCAGGCTTGGAACCCTCTTGCATGGGGAATTCACAGGCAGATGCATACACCCCAAGGCCTGCTCCCATCTTTCCAGGCACTTTGCAAGTCCCCACCGCCTCATCCTGGTCCCCTTGCCCCGCCCGACTCTTCAAGCTAAAGGGGGCGGCGCCACTGAATCAACTTTTCCCATCTCTGGATTCAAAGGGTAGGAGTGTAATTAAAACCAGATAATTAATGAGACAATATTCCTCCAGCTACATCTTTAATGAACAAACCCCTTCAGGGCAGCCTCTTCTTCTAGGCTCATTAAAGAGAAGAAAGTTGGGCGGCTCGCGGACTTCCCAGCGCGTTAATAACCAACCCAGAGTGGGTGCCTCGGCTGGGAGCTAGGGAGCCGCCCCGGCGTTTCCTGGCCACGTCCTCCCACCACCACTCTGCACCTTGGCCCGCCCCGACTCCCATCCCCTCCACCCGCGATCCCCACCTAGCCCCAGCCTCTCGCGCCTCCCCAGAGATCCCGCCAGCCGCAGTTCACTGACTCCCAGCTCCGCCTGCCTCTCTCTGGCGGCCTCTCGCCAGCACCAGGCAAACTGCGCTGTGATGTGAGCGGCCGTCAGGCCTCCCATTTTCCCCTCGCCCAGCGCTGCGCGTTCCGGGCCCTCTGGCTGGCTGGGGCCGGCTCTGTAGAAGGGAAATCAAGGCAAGATAGGGGCCCGAGTCTCCCTCTGAACCCTAGCTGGGTGCCCTAGCTGGGTGGCCTAGGACTGGCCTTCGAACTGCGGGAAGGCTAGGAAGGGATAGGCTAGAGGTGGGGGTAGAGGCGCTGGTTTTCCACGCGCACCTCGTACACTTTCAGGAACGCGCACTAGCAACCACAGGCACGTGCACTCGCGCGCACGCTATCTTGCATACACAGGCGTGCCTACTCGCTCGCGCACACAAGCACGCTTGCGAAGCCTCGGGTCCAGACCATGGGCCCCGACACAGGGGGAGAGCCTGACTTGAGCCTTCCCCCCGCCGCCTGAGGTCGCCCTGGCATCAGCCTTCTCCAGGGTGGGAAACTTCTCTCTTGGAGCGCAGCCTCCAGTACCTGGAGCAAGCCTCTGGGCCAGATTAACTAGGAGCGGGCAGCACACGGGGGCTCGGGACCGGGGGAGCCCTAGCCAGACCCAGGCGGGGGCGGTAGCTCTGGCGGCGGCGCCAGTGTTCGACTACGCTGGCTTTTAGGGATGAGTTATGTGGCAATGAGCGAAGTAAATCTGCATGCGCAAAAGATGCTAATTACTCTTAATAGCCTACCCAGACGCCCCGAGACTGGAAACCCAGAAACGTAAATCTGCTCCCGATAAATATTTTTAATTGTGAAATTTCCTGGAAAGAAGGCTTTGGTTGCGCGGGCCGAGGCATTTGGCTTTGGAGGGAGGAAAACGGCCCCCACTCGGAAAGCCGGGTCCGGAGTCTGGGACTAGCCGCACAAGGGCGCCTGGAGCGGGCTGAGCGACCTGAGCCCGGCTGGCCGGCGCTGGGTAAAGTTAGTGATGTATCGCATTAATTACCAGTGTGAGCTGCAAATGGTTCGAGGCCCAGGGAAAATTAATGGGAATCCAAATTCTAATTATGTAGCTGTTGTTAAAGAGTTTAACTAGATAGTCACGGAGAAAATTGGATTATGCATAGAAATATGCAGCCGGCGCACGCGGTCTGGGACAGGGGTCCGGGGACTCTCAGCCACCTCCCCCACCCCCCGCCCCCGCCCCCGGCACCGTAGGACACTCCTTTCAGAGGAAAGAAAAGACCCACGCGCCCTAGCGTCTTAAGATCCGGCGTTTTCAGTTGGCAGAGGCTGGGCGGAACTCAGGATGGGAGGAGAGGCCGAAGAAGCTTGCGGAGGCTCGGGCTTGGATGTAGGGTCGGTGTAGAGGTCCGGGGCTCCTGGGTCCCTTGGTCTGGGTGAGGGTTTATGCCCACTTCCCAGGTCTTCCTGACAATCATACAATTATATCTGGGAGGTGTGGGTTTATATTTCTTCCACTGTCAGCTGAAGGAAATAGCCACCAACCGGAAGCCCAATTACACCCGAAGCCTCGTCATTCACTTTATTAAGGACTCTGGATATGTTTCCATTTTCGCAGGAAATGAGCTCTGATGAAGCAGCACTAATACCTCTGGCCTCGGGGAGGGGGAGGGGACTCTCAGGGGAGAGCTCTATTCCCAGGGAGGCCTGGCAGCGCGTGGTACTTCAAAAAGGGTCACCTTGGGGCGGCGGTCACCCAAACCTCCACTTCTCCCAGTTTCTCCCAGAATCCTGGATTCGTTTTGTCCCATGCCACCCACTCGGCAGGCCCCCACTTTCCCGTATTCCCGCGCTCCGGCCTTGGAGTTCCCACCACGCTGCCTCTGGCAGGGACTGGGAGCGAGGGCCTAGACTGTTGAGGGGACTTTGCAGGCCTAAAGGGAAATCGAGCATCCTTTTCAAGCCCATCTACACCATCCCAGGAGGCAGGCAAGCTCTGAGGTTGCGAAGGTTTCTGGAGCTTGGAGGGTAGGCCTGGGTCGCAGGGGAAGCATCACTTCTCCGCGTCCCAGTCCCGGCTCCCTACAGTTTCAGAACCTAGGTTTCTATTTCCCCTTAAGGAGAATGCAACCTCTCCCCGCCACCCCCGGCCCCGCCCCTTTAGGAGAGAAAGCTGGCGGGTCTGTATCTCACCTGAGTTCCTGGTTCTCCAGGCCCGGCCTCGTTCTGCACTTGGCGAGGCTGCCCGCGCATGACAGTCTCTAGCACCCCTCATCGGACCTCCATTTCCTAGACGGCGGGATGAGATTAATGCTTGCTGTGCCCTCGGCCTCTTTGGGTCCTTCTTTTCCTCCACACCGGCTGCCGATTGCACTTGGAGGGCTAGACCGGAGGGAATGAGACCTCTGGGTCAAGCCTCAGCATGTGGGGAGGATCCCACAAGTTTGGGACATCAGTGTCTCAGTAATTTGCAGGTCTTCAGCGAGAAGCTAAATTGGGGCCCAATGGATCAGTTCAGGGAAGACCTCAAGCAGAGAGGGGGCAGGTGACCCCGGGGTGTCCTGGAGAGACCAGTTCTGACACAGAGAATGCGTCTGAGTCAGATGCAGTTAGACCCTTCCCCTTTTATCTTGGACTGGGCGGGGGAGGGCTGTGGAGGGCAGGTCTTCAAAGCTTGGGGCAGATTTCTTAGAGGGAGTAGAAGCCGTTGAGCGTTCTGAAGGAAGAGCAAAGAAAGAGGCCAAAGATCCGGAGATTTCTCTCCCCAGCTTCCGGTTGCACAGGGTGGAGTATGGAAGGCAGGTATCACCAGGGCAGAAGGTGATAAACAGACCCACAAATCCTGGGAGAAAAGCATACAAATGGACAGAATCAGGCATGCTTTTGGATTTTTTTAAGTTCCCAGGCCGAATTCAGATTCTAAAACCTCCAGTTCTCCCAGTGGCCTCGGAACAAAACCTATAAGTCTGGAGGTTTTACAGGTTTTAATCTGAAGATACATTAAAATAACTGAGAATCCTCCACTCCTTCTCTAGCTCCCGAGGAAGGTCTGGGGAATTCACCCTCTATCCCCCACAATATGTGCCATGCTTCCCCACCCCCTTCTCCTCGCCCTTTCCAAGCCCTTCTGGGAAATATGGTTGCTTCACAGCCCCCTCAAAATACCAGGTCCGTCCTTCTGTTGCAGTGAGGAGGACCCTCAGACTCAGCTGGCTCCTTTCTGGAGCCCTCCCTAGTCTTCACGCTAAATCCCGAGCACTGGAGCCAGGCTCTTCAAAAAGCCTGCGCTTCTCTGAGACGCGGGCTTGGAGTGCCACCTAGTGGCATTGGTGGAGACGTGCAACAGCAGCACGCACCCTTCAGTTCAGTTCAGTTCAGTCGCTCAGTCGTGTCCGACTCTTTGCGACCCCATGAATCGCAGCACGCCAGGCCTCCCTGTCCATCACCAACTCCCGGAGTTTACTCAGACTCATGTCCATCGAGTCGGTGATGCCATCCAGCCATCTCATCCTCTGTCGTCCCCTTCTCCTCCTGCTCCCAATCCCTCCCATCATCAGGGTCTTTTTCAGCTCCCCCCCTTCCCTCTACACCACCTGGAACCCCAAAGTCTCACCCTCACACCACAAGCCCTTACGTGAGCACGCTTCACCTCCACTTTTTGGCACTGGGCCATTAGGAGAGGGCCACGGCAAGAAAAGAGCAAGGGTGCGACTGAGGGGCACATCTTTGGAATCCACAGATGCTAGGGACGTTCTTTCAGGGATTGGATATGGAGTAGGGCCGAGAAAGGCGCAAACCCGTGTCTCCGCTGGTGCGCCGGGGGTATGGGGCCGTTGAGCGTAAAAACGGTCCTCCTTGGGCTTCACTGTGGCTCAGACGGTAAAGAGCTTGCAATACAGAGACTCTGGTTCGATCCCTGGGTCGGGAAGATTCCCTGGAGAAGGGAATAGCAACCCACACGAGTATTGTTGCCTGGAGAATCCCCTGAACAGTGGAGCCTGGCGGGCTATACAGTCCATGGGGTCGCAAAGAGTCAGACACGACGAGCGACTCACACTTTCACTTTGGGGCGTCGCAAGAGGCTACTTCTTCTTCTGGGTGAGTGCCTAAAGGGGAAATTATGAGTGCCTAGTCGTCCCTGGTCCTACTTCAACCAGGTGCTGCACTGCAGTCACCCGGGACTTCGGAAGTAGATTCAGAACCCTCCTTGCTCCCCAAATTCAGGCCCTCGCAACGGCCTCCACGCGGGAAAGGTTAGGCAAGAGCTCCCTCTGCTGTCCATCGTTCGGTACTGCTGCAGGCTACCGTGCTGCAGGGCTGCAAAACTCAAGGCAAGAGGCAGGATCTGTTTCTCTGTTCCTGATCTGATCTGCTGGCAGACATCATAGCCATCCCTCTGCCGTCAGAAAGGAGATCCCTTACCCAAATGGTCATAAGAGGCTTTTCTGATATTTATGGGTTTGCACAAGGAAGAAATGACTCTGCTCCAGAGTTTCACCCCTACTGCTAGTTCTGTGATCTTTCTGCTGCTGGCCCACACCCCCAACTGGCACAGTGTCTGGCAAGTTATAAATTTCTTCCTTTATACTATGATTGTCAAGCCTGACAGAACAGGCTGTGTTTCATGGGTAGTAATCTCCAGATGGAAAGTCAGGGGAAGGATGAGTACCAGCAGGTCAGTCCACTCAGAGCTATCTAAAAATTAGTGAGAGGTGATGACAGTGAGTCTGGCACTTCTAGAAGAGCCAAGACTCCTGAATTTTCAAGTGACCACCAGTTATTCCCTGGCAGAGAACCCCCAAGATGGCCCTCTCATGGTTGACACACACTGATTTCCGCATTCACCAAGTACTTCCTCCTGCTCACCCAGGCAGCCGCCATCTCCTGTTGACACTGAACACCTGACCTTGGCACAGCCACACTCCCCAGAGCCCCAATCCTCAGATCCACTCCCACCCCTTGCAACACATTCTCCAGGCCTGGACTATTAGGAGAAGCAAGGTCATAGAGGGCAGGAACCGTGGTCAGCTGTGGGATGAGGCAGTCTGTAAAGGTCACTCTAGGTCTTTGCCCTTGAATTTGGCACTATCCTTAGAGAAGAGAGGGAACAATGTATGTATGTGTGTGTGTGTGTGTAATAGAAGGAGGGGTCCAGGGCTTTGAAGTCCCCCCCAAATGAAGACTGGTGACAACCTTTCACTTCAGGTGATGCTCTGTGATTCTGTATAGGTCTCCCAGACCTCTGATCCAGGCCCCCTCCTGCTCACCTGGACACAGAACAAAGTAAACCACAATATTGGGAATTTCCAGTTACTCTAAGTAGCCCATGAAAATGAGATGTCTTAAACTCAAGCCTTAGATAGGGAAAGTGGTAGAAGTGGGGGCTTCTGCCCTTCTCCTTCCTTATCCTTTCTCTCTTGGGGTCTTCAATAATTTCCCATGAAGGGGCATGGTGCTTCCTCCTCTCTCCAGTGTGGACATTTGGGGGTCCTTAGAGTCACCGCACTTCACGCCAGGACACCTCGTGTGCCCTTCTCCCCAGGTCCAGGATGGGAAGGCAGCAGGGGAGCCTTGGCTGATGTGCCTGGCTGGATGGCAATCTGAGCTTGGGAAAATGCAGATATAGGGCTGGTACTCCAGAACCACCCAAATGGAATCCCTGGGAACCATACCTGAGACTCTTCCCTTTGGCGTGGGAGCCCACTCCCTCTCTGCCCCTTCCTGGATTCTTGTGCATGCTGGTCTATGAGAAGTATAGAACCCCCCCCTTCCCATACAACCCCCACCCCCAGAATGGCTTACCACGGAGGAAATCATGCCTGTAATTAGGGCTCAGACAGCCTGGGGATTTATGCCTGCGACTTCCTAGCTGTGGGACTTTGGCAAGTCACTTCATCCCTCTGAGCCTCAGTTTCTCCGTCTGTGAGTTGGGGACAGTAATCCCTGCCTCAGAGGGTAGCACTGAGGGCTAAATGAACCTAATGTTCCCAAAAGATCTTTGTAAAATCTCAGTACAAATGCCAGTTATTATTCAAGAATGTCAGAGAGAGATGTAAGATGTTAATAAGTTCCGGAAGAACCTGCACCCCCACTTCAGAGATTTCTCCTCCTTTTGGGCACATGAGAATATCCCACTTGCAGTGTCCTGAGGTCTCTACATGGCTCCCACATTTTCTTCCCAGCCCACCTCTCCCACTGAAGAAATGTAACTGATCTCTCTGGGAAAACAAAGGGGAAAACAGCCATGTCCTTACCCTTCACACGAAAGGGCTTACCTTGAGTCAGTTTCCAGTATTAACAAAGTGGTCTTGGGTTAAGTTCACCTGCCAGGGATGAGGGGTTGGGGAGAACTTGTTTAAAAAAAAAAAAACCACACAGGCGTCTGAGCCTGGATCAGGAGTTGGGAGGGGGGGTGCTGGCTGGTAAATTTTTATCATTCTCTCCAGGCAATTTGGACTCCTCTGTCACTGGGGGAGACCCACTGCCTTAAACTATCTAGTGTTATTGGTCATAAGTAGGCAGTGGTACCCTGCCCAGAGACTGCCTGAGACCCCCAGAGACCCCTGTCTCTGGTTTCCTTCCATGGCAGAGACTGGGGGTGGGGTAGGGAGTAGTGAGGTAGGTAGATGATGGGGACAATAACCTAGAATGACACTGACCTAGAACAACAGGAGGCAGGTCTGATGAAAAAAGCAGGGCTTTGAGGTGTGGGACGGGGGTCTCACTCACACTGGCCTTGAGGTCTGGGCCTTGACCTGTCTAAAGCCAGTTTCTTCATCTGTGAAATGGGGTGTTGTGACACTCAGGTCTGCTCTATTCCAGAGTGCTCCTGAGTAGCTGTGATTTCCAAAGAGGGAGTTGCTTTTTCACCAACATATAGATGTGTGCACATGTATGTAGAAATAAGAAAAGAACATGAATCTTTTTCTGAAACTTACTTTTTTTTTTTTCCACTTCACAGTAGATCCTGGATATCTTTCCATGCCTAGATTTTGTGGTGGTACCTTGTAAAATGCAAACAGCAGAACTGTTGAAATGTTGGTTGATTTAAATAACAGACAAAACATTACCCTTTGGGGAATTGTGTGGGTGTGCTCATGTCTTTGAGATGATAAGTTGGAGGTAAGGGAGGACTTGTGAGCACGGGTAGGTGCTTCAGGAGCTGGTGATCCAAGCAGGATGGGAGACTGCCAATTTTTAATGGTACAAAGGCTACAGTAAAAAGGCAGGTATTCAATTTGCAGTCTTCAGCCCCTAAAAGCCGCCGTCAGCTGCCTCTTAGGAGTGTGCCTCCTTGTCAACTTGCATTTGAGGGGCTCATACTCAGGCCTTAGGCAATGAGGAGACTCACAGCCACCTCTGGGAGGTCATAGAGGGTATATGAAGGGATATTTAAGCTGCTATAACAAGGAGGCCCCCAAATACAGGGGCTAAATGGGGTAGATGTCTATTCTCCCTCACATAATAGTCTGTTTGTGCACTAAGTTGCTTCAGTCATGTCCAACTCTTTGCGACCCCATGGACTGTAGCCCACCAGGCTCCTCTGTCCATGGGATTCTCTGGGAAAGAATACTGGAGTGAGTTGCCATGCCCTCCTCCAGGGGATCTTCCCAGCCCAGAGATGGAACCAGCATCTCATTATGTCTCCTGTATGGGCAGGTTGGTTCTTTACCAGTAGCGCTACCTCGGAAGCCCCATAACAGTCTATATGCTGTCACAATTAAGAGCAGATTCTGACACCAGGTTACCTGGGCTCAAATCCTATCCTTTGTGACCTTACGAAGTTAACCTCTCTGTGTCTGAGTTTCTTCATCTGTAAAGTTGGGATGATAATAGGTAATGATACAGTAATTCTGCCTATTAGGATTTTTATGAAGATCAAATGAGTTAAGCCCCTCCAAAAATTCTTTACTGAGCACCTCCTATGTATTGGTCACAGTTTGAGGTCCATGGTGACTCTCGTGGTGGTGGTGGTTTAGTCGCTAAGTCATGTCCGACTTTGCAACCCTACGGATTGTAGCCCATGGGGCTTCTCTGTCCTTGGGATTTCCCAGGCAAGAATATTGGAGTGGGTCACCCTTTCCTTCTCCAGTGGCTCCTATCAGTGGGCTAAAATTGGCAGCTGTAGCTCCTGCCATCATGTCTGCCTCCCAGTCAGTAGGAAGAAGGAAAGGATAAGAGGAGCACATACTCATTTCTTTTAATAGCAAAACTTAAAAGTGGTCTACAGCTGACCTCCTCATAGCTATCAGTTAGAATTCCCTTCCCCAGACTCACCTCAGCTGCAAGGATGTTGGGAAGTATAATCTTCAGCTATGTGACCACGTGCCAGCTAAAACCCAGGTGTGATAAAGAAAGAAGGGGCTCGTGGAATTTTGTAGAAAACTAGCATTTTCTTTGTTCCTGGGGACAGCCACATCTTCCTCACATAGAGCCCCCGAGGAAGACAGTGACAGAGGGAGGAATGAGAGGGAGCCTGAGGGAAAAAAGTCATAAAGGGATCACTTAAGAAGGAAGATTCCTGAGGGAATTCCCAGGTGGTTCTAGTGGTAAAGAACTTGCCTGCCAATGTGGGAGACTTAAGAGATGCAGCTTTGATCCCTGGGTTGGGAAGATCCCCTGGAGGAAGGCACGGCAACCCACTCCGGTATTCTTTCCTGGAAAATCCCCATGGATAGAGGAACCTGGTGGGCTATAGTCCCTAGGGTCTCAAAGAGTTGGACATGACTAAAGCAACTTAGTACTCATCCATGCAGTGGTTAGGACTCTACCCTGGGTTCAACCCCTGGTCAGGAACTAAGATCCCTCAAGCAAAGAAGGAAAGTCCTTGAGATAGGGATAAGGATATGGGAGGGCAGAAACCAAGACCAGCTTGATGGCCAGGATCTGGGGTCAGGGTTATCCATTTGGATCTTCTTGTTTATTTCCTTCCCTTGCCTCTGGGTTCTGAGTTAAGGTCTGTGGACTTCTGTGCCGGAAAAAGGTGCATTATTCTTTGGTGCTAGCTCGAGCTCAAGAGAAGGAAGACTAATGCTGGAGGGTGCTTGGGGAGTCCTGGGTAATGGGAGTGGAATCAGCCACAGGCCAGGGACAAGTGGCCCAGGGTTTCCACCCCAGAGGGACGATGCACTGAGATTCCCAGGGGCCCAGGAGAAGCCACCAGCAGGAGGCACTGGCTGGGCAGGTGTACGGGCTACAGACCTGACCTGTGGGATGATTGTGAAGGGCGGCGTTGAGTGGCCACTGATGGAGCTGGGGACTTGGGGGCATAGGGACAATGTGATGACACTGAAAACCTGGGCTTTCCTCACACCCACCCCCTTAGCCTGTTGTCTGGCTGTGTTCTGCATGGATCCCTAAGCTGACAGGAGCCTCTGGACCCAGCATTCTTCGCCCAGTGCCCAGAATCCCCTGCAGCTGTGCTTGAGTGTGTTTTTCTGGGTGATGACGCATCGTGCGCTGTTAGCAGATTCCTAAAGGGCCCGTGAGTCAGCAGAAATCAACAACCGTGATTTCTCTTTTTCTGTGTCTGCTGTGATGAAACCACCTTGATCTGATTCTGAAACTCCTGTGACAGTGCATATAAATGTTTATATATATTGAGTTTGAGGATGAGCAGGAATTCCATAGCCCCTGTCCCTGGGAGGACAGCAGTGAAGATATGGCTGAGGTTTTGGCCAAAGCCCTCCTGCCAGAGAAAGGGGAGGTAAACCCCAGAGGCAAGGGAGGCTGGGACAGGTGGTGTCCATGCTGTCACCAGCGGGAGAGTCCCTGGAGGAAGAGAGGCAGCCCACTGGGGCAGTTTTCTCCCTTCTGTGGACCCAGCCAGAGGAGGTCAGAGGGAGGGAGCATAGCAGAGGGAGAAAGACAAATGGGGACTTGGCAAGCGGAGGTGAGATCCAGCGGGTGTTTTCCTTTTCTTCAGCTCTAACCTTCGATAAACCTGGACTCCCTGAGACTGGAGATTTTAGACAGCAAGGTCTTTGGAAGCATGAGACGGGCTTTCGATATGTATCTGTTGAGTGATTGAATGACTGATTAAATAAAGCAAAAATGACTTCGTGAGGGTACAGCCATGTTAATAAAGAAACAGGAAACACAGTCTTTGTTAGTCATTGGAAGCAGGGCCCAGTCATTCCAACATGGAGTTGCTCTGTGTGCCGAGACCCTCCCATTCAATCCCCAGATCAACCTAAAGACACAGGCGCTGGGAGTTGGGATGTCCTTGTGCAGCTGGGGACATGAGGCTGGGGGCTAAGGCACCATGCAGTGTGGCAGTTTGCAGGCCATCAGAACTGGACCTGCTTCCTGACTCTGCTTACGGGGTGGGGGGAGCACCTTACAAGCCTGCCCCTCTTCTCAGGTCCTGGAGAATGTGGGAATTGTCCAGCTTCACTTTCAGCATCTCTTTCCCCCCTTATTAGGTGAGCAGTGGCATCCATCTCCCCAGCTTCTTGCAACTCCAAGTGTGGTTCTGAGACCAACAGCATCAACACCAGCTGGGAGCCAGTTAGAAAAGCAGAAGATCTGCCTCTCCCAGACCTGCTGAGTCAGAATCTGCATTTTTAACAGGATTTCCCTGAGGAATTGGTGAAGTTCAGCTCTCTCTCTCTCTCTCTCTCTCTGCCATCCTCTGGTAAGGGAAGCCTTGCTAGCTTCATTTGTAGGAAGCCACTTGCTCAGGGATGCTGGAGGCAAGCATGCCTGTGTCATCCAAGACAGGCAGCCTCTCTGGTCCTCCTTCAGATTTCCTAGAACTTCTTCCTTTCAAACCTTCCTTCTCCTTCCAACCAGAAAGCCAGACCCAGAGGTGCCCTCTCCACCTAAATCCCTGCATTACCTTAAAACAATAGTAACAAAAACTTAAAATCCCAGAATAGTTTTAAATTTACAGAAAAGTTACATAGTATGGAGTTCCCATATATCCCTTACCCAGCACCCCCTATTGTTAAAGCCTTGCATTACCATGATGTATTTGTCCCAGCCAAGCAAACAATATTTGTGTATTACTAATTAAAATGGACTGGAATGGGCGAATTTAACTCAGATGACCATTATATCTACTACTGTGGGCAAGAATCCCTTAGAAGAAATGGAGTAGCCATCATAGTCAACAAAAGAGTCTGAAATGCAGTACTTGGATGCAA